CCGACACGAACGAAAAGAGATGAGGGGCTGCAATTTATCATGAAACACAGCCAATTCTCTTATTCCGGGTTGCTATAGAGAATTTCTTGGCAGTAAAATCCTATAACCGATTTCTGCCCAATATGGGATACGAACCGGGCACCTTAATCAACAGTCGCGCTTACGACAATGGAATATGCCGACGATAAAGTCACAATGGCAGATTCGCTGCAGGATCATAGTAATATTCTCAATAACCTCAACAGTGTCTCCCAACAGGTAGATCTTACGATGGATATGGACAAGACAGAGGGTAACCAGTGCGTGCTTTCAGTGACGCCTTATATTTTTTTAATGGAATAAGCGTGACAAACGAGCACACAGACCACCTGAAGTGGATGCTGTGGCCCATAGACATCTACGTTTATCCTCAATTAAGAATCGAAATGCAGATGCGTTGCTACACCTGAGGACTAAGATGGAATGCCACGTTTATAGTAAAATAGGGTCTCTAGATTTCTACACTCACCATACGAAACACAGCAGTATTAAGCTGCTATTTTACGCTGGTATCTGTGAGAGCGTGGTCTTTCCCCGGTCGAGCCGACCCATTAGTGCTGCAACCATAATCTAGCTGCAGCGTGGCTCTACCACGTATAAAATATAAATTGAGGCGAAGAAAGGAAGCTTGAGATCGCTATGAGTGATAGAATTCGTAACGATCCATCCGCAGTAGAACCAGAGTAACCTACTATATACACCAGCGGATTACTAAACTTGAAATGACAATGCCCCGGCCATATAGCTCGATGAACCGACCGATAGGAAAGAAGGTTCTAGAGTAATGGCCTCGTACCGGTAAGCGTACCAATAGAGCGGCCTCGCACTGGTTGGAATGACGTCCTGGTAAGGAAGTCGATGGAAGCAGGTGGCTCAGGATCGTGTTTTATGGCATTACTTGGAGGAGATCTATGTTCAGAAGTAGAGATGTAGTGTTGTAATGATGACGATAATGATGATGAGAGGTAATTTTACCAGCGGAATATTAAACGTAATACCAGAAACTCCACGTTTAACGCTGTATCCCGTAGCTGGTCTGAGTTAGGTCTATCACTACCGAGTTGGTTATACCACTACCTATCGGAAGCAAAGATTTTTTCTGGCAATTTCCACAATCGATTTTTACGGCATCTACATCAGGAAATGGAGTATTAGATTTGCTTAAGCTGCCATCACATGGATCACAATAAACAAACAAGTTATAAACCAACTTGCTTTTCGGTTTTCTTTTTTAATTTGAGTATATGGTAACATTATAATATTTATTTTATATTTATCTCTACTTTCTAAATTGGTCACTTGGGCGTTGACTCATCAGCGGGGAAATGTCACTTATTATTAAGAAAACAAAGCTCAAAAAGACCCTAGGACCAAGCAAGTAAGACTTACAATGAAAGGTATAAAATAAAATTGGTAATTGGAATTAGGAATCTATACACTCCCCCATTATAACTGACAAGATAGGCTGGCACGGACTTTCGAAAATTGGTGAGGATCAATGATAATAAATAACACGAATTTCATTGTGGTCAAATTGAAGAAAGTTTTGCGAACTGCAAGGCTTTTTAACCCAAAGTCAGTTATTAGCGACACGTCATGTAGATTCAGCAAAACTAATTACTATGCATAATATGTACAAAGTATGTAAATAATTTATAATATTTATATTCATTCCAAAAAAAAAAAACTTTGGAAAACAATGCACGTTTTGCCGTCTATTGTTTTATGAAAGTGAAATGACTGTTATTATGTCACTATAACGACATTACTATGTAGGTGATTTACGCTATGGTGCACTGATGACACTTCCTTGAGAGCTCAGAAAGTATTATTCACGCTTTCACAGGGTAAGCGCACGACGTACACCTTGGTTCACTGCAAACCTAAACTGCTCTATTGCAGAATTGGATCAAATCATTGCTTGTAGCACATTGTAATTCGTAGGTTGTATTATTACTACACATTATTTAACACAACATTCCTACACACTAAGTGGACGTGGTGACCTACTTTCCTAAGTAATCTCGCAGTAGGATAGCTAATTATATTGAACTTACCTGTGTCTTGTATCTGATGAAATACACCTCTGGCTTGGCGGGTTGAGTAGGAGCTGGCGTAGGGATCACAATATCAGGCTGGTCTTCGGGTTTCTTCACTAAAACGTAGACGAGGGTCTTTTCCTCGTTTTGTGGTTGCACAGGAATGACAGGTGCGGTCGGCGTCGGTGGGGTCGGTGCCTTGATGAACACTATCTTGTAATGCTTTTGAGGCGGTGGTACGTAGATTTGTTTGCGCGGAGGCGGTAGCTCGTTATCCGGAGGTGGCACATGCACATATACGTGTTTGTGCACTATGGGCTGTTGTGGAGGTCCGTACTGAGGAGCCGGTGCACCATATGATGAAGATGGTGCTCCATAAGATCTTGAAGGAGCACCGTACGAGGTTGGTGGTTCTGGACGCGCTACGACGCACGCCAACGTCGCCGCCACCACCAACGACCTAAGTACCTGTCAACATAAACATTTATATTTTATACATTATATGAACTATTATCACACTAATGAAAACAGAAAACTGGTGCTATCAGATCACTAGCTCGAAACAGCTTATAGCACACCACTAACACGTACCGTTTTGTCACACATCCTGCTTATGCGTTGAGGCGCAACCTGAAACAGTGCAGTGTCTAACGATCAGGTGTCACCAGTGTTTATAAGAGATGTACACTACGTACATCCCAGAGAGGGGGTACTTTCGATGGTTCTCATGCCTTGCGTAACGCAGTGGTGCTCACGCGCCGCCCTCCTACCTGACGGCACACAGAGGAGCGATTCATGCTCGGGGGCAACTGTTCAACTTTCAACTTGTGCGTAATTTGAACTTGCATTTTATTTCTAAGTAAACAAGTTCTTTGAATTAGATTTTATGAATATATTAAAACTTTACTACAATTTTATACTTCTTTAAAATTTAGTAAAGTAGTAAACTTCTTTCTATTTCTCTATTTCCTTTTTTTTTTAAAAACGTTACCTCCACACAATGAGTTTCTCCTGTATCTTGTGGGCAGTTTACAAACATAAATTTTACAAGGACAAACATCCAGACCTGAAACAATTATTTATAGGCCATATAAATACACGTTCCGGGCGGGATTCGAACCCGCGGCCCTTAGCTCTGTAACTCATTGCTAAGCCACTGCACCACGGAGCCGTCAAATCTACTAAAATTTCAAAATCTATGCTTTTTTATTTGTGTGAATTTTATAAAATGTTATAAATTCTATAATTATTAGTTTTCTCATAATCGATTCTATAGCAATAATAACTTAAATAAAAAATTAGTAACCTTCGTAACAAAAAGAGCTGCCGACCTTCAAATCGCTCAACAGATTTTCTTTTTTCTTAACACTCCATTAAGACACCTTTTAAACGAAAAAAACTTTACCAAAATCGATTCACACAGACACATAAATACGAAGTACACACTACAAACTTATAACACCCCTCTGTTTTCGTAGGTGGTTAAAAACATCTGAATATTATGTAAGTGTATCAGAGATGTAGCACAAACACAGAGGCTTATGAGGATTACGAGGTTTTATATATTTGATATCGTTGTATTCACTATCGACTATAAGCCGATGTCTTTTTTATAGTAATATCTTATTTTAGTTTATAAAATATTATTATAACGAAAACATATAACACAGTTGCGGAGTAATTTCTACCGACAGTGATGGATTTGTAATACTATAATTGGCCTAGGGCATCACCGGAGAGAGGGCATCGGTTATTAAACTTCTGACAAAAAATGCATATTACTAATCAAACTCTCTCGCTATTACAAATATGTACACTAAAACCATTTAGATTTGATTTGTTGTGAAACATTATTCATAATGAAGAAAAATAATACGATAATTTTTACATGTAATGTAAATATTTGCTCTGTTTGGAATTCAAACCCAAAGTCCACTATTCAGTAGTTACGTGTCACATTGTTTGTCCGCGATGAACTAAGCTACTGAACTAATTTCGATGAAATTATGCACACTGTGTTGTGCTATTTGGTCCAACTTGAGAGATAGGATAAGTTACCCTCAATATTTTTATTGCGAAATAAAGGATTAATATTATTTAAAGGACATACGTAAATACAAGGTCAGTCTGGACAGCTAGTACAATATAATTATCATTTATACTCATGACGGTTGTCCAACAAATCAACTGACGTTACAAGTTACCCGCTATTTCGTAAAATAAAAGTATCAAAGGCAGTGCAATTTGTATACTCGATAGGTCAACGCTACATTAACAGTTACGATTGATTCCGCAGTTGACCAATCATCTACGATACGATGAAGATGCAAGTTTGCCTCACAGAATTGCATTTATCGTAAGCTGATTACAGTATAATGTATCGTGGAAACCATAAGAAACACATTATTGAAGTGGTAACAAAGTTTCCACCACTTAGTTGTAACACTCGCATAGGACTGTGGCTTATTTTGTAAGTAATATTTTATGGGAAGAAAAAATATTTTAACGCCATACTTGTTGTACTTAAAACTAATTATAGCGAAGAAACGTTGGCATAACGAATCACAACTAATGTGTATGGTGTTCGCGTATAGTTCTTTATCGATGTTTATTAAACTCACAGTATTAAATGCCAATCACCAAAGAGAGCACTTTCTACGTTCACAGTGCGACGATTTGGATGCATATCTAAAAGACGCAACGTACTAAGGAATAATCCTGCATTGTCCCTTGGTCAGCATCTTCGTAATTCTTAATTAATTTTATTGGTGTGTTACGTTGAACGCGTGACTTCAGCTAACAGAACACAGAGTATCAATCACAAGTTCACATTGTGCCATCTCTGGAGGACGGACATGTAAACATTCGCAGGCTTGAAGTCATCTTCATTATCTCATTTGACCTACGCAAGTCTTTCTGAAAATGGACTTAACTAAATATTGTAGATCACCAGTACCAAATGCTCGCAGTAAATTTAAGGTAAGTGAAAAAGACATTATTGAAGTAGGTATATATTTGTATGATTTGAAATCATGATTAATGATTCATTGATTTCGAGTTTTATGTATCAAATTTTTTTAAAGAATTTTTAAAATAATGTAATTAAATGGTCTAAAGAAACGATTAGAGAATAATTGATACTAAAGCCAAATTAAATTTTATAATTAAATTTTATTGCGACTAATAGTTATTTAATTGTACATTTATTAGATAATGCAAACATCTAAATAATTTATTATTTTATGATCAAAAACCACAATTTTTGCAGTTTCATCGCTAAAATAGATCAACATCAATCTTTTGAATTATCGTATTTATATAACCAGTACATAATGTAATCCAAGACTTTAGGATCATGTTAAATAAATACAATTTGTTATATAGATATTTTTGTTTTGATTTGTATGGCATAAAGTAGAAAATAGAACTTTAGCAAAAATAGTAACGTCATTATTTATGAATTTAATGAACATGAATAATTTGTCAAATATATAATATATTTTAGACGGTCGGCGGGTCTACACCCCTTTGTTGCCGTAAGAACCAAACGGTTTGCTTCCAAAGCAAGAGTGAATAGGCTTTTGTTAAGACAGTACGAATTGCATCTAGAGCTGCATCACCACTTACCACCAGGTGGTATTGTGGTCAAGCAATAGCTTATAATAATTAAAAAAATATTTCATAAATCATGGTCGCAATACTCCTCCTGTCTTAACATTTTCGTAATAAGTATTTGGCAAAAAGTACGCATTACGTCACAACGTGTGATGGTCTTGATGTTTTTTTGGGCTTTGCTTTCGTAGAATTATTAGCCACATCACGAATCAACCTTTTGACGTGTTGTTTTGGTTTAGAGGTAGTGTTACGTATCGGAAACATAATATTGTGATGTAAAAGTGTTATGGTCGTCACACACGGTCAGTTCAACTGATCAGTTCAAACTAGAACTGTTGATATTTTATGAAATATCGTATTTCCGATATATTGATAATTATAAATATATTAATATCAGAATTTTATATATAAGTTTATTTATCGATATATCGAAAATCCGATATTTTAAAAAATATCTATCAAAAGTGTTAGTTTAAAAGATCAGTTGGAATGATCAGTTGAACTGACCGTGCGTGTCGTCCATTAGTTTTATGCTATGCCATAATTCTAAGGTGTCATGGACTTAGTGTTTTCTTGAAGCTTTTAGGCAATATTGTCATCGTTTAAGGAATTTATTAATAATTTTAATAGTACTACATTAATAAAATATTTAGAATAATCAGCCTAACAATTTTTTTACCTTTTGAATATAATAAGGAATATCACAATCTCAACATTGTCTAAATGATAGAATTTTATTCCCTATTTTATCACCCTTTTTCTCCAATTTAATAAAAAAATAATCATCACAATCGGTTCAAAATAATTGGCGAAGATATCGCGTATCATATCATACACAGAAAAAACAGTCGATTTCAAAGCCTCCTCCTTTTTTGGAGTCGGCTAAATATTTTAAGAAACTAACTCAAGGTATTCAAGGTATATCAATCCACGGGCGCTTTAAAACTCTAAAAGAATATCTGAATAAATCTTGAACAATTTCCAGCATAACTGGCTTGTTTAGAAAATATAAACCGATTTCAGTTTATTATTCAAAACATACATAGCATAATGTGTTAGTATAGAGTTGGGAGGCCGCAAAAGAAGTTGAATTATGTTCTGATGCACCTTTCCAGAGAAGGGGGAAGAGTTGTCCTCTCTCGAGGAGGGGCCGCTTTGAGCGGCAGGTGCTAGTAATCCTGTCAATACGTAGCGCAGATGGAACACAACGGGGTTATTCGTCATCTCGCCCGACAAAAACTCGCCCGATCGGGCGACTTGGCGCCTTTCGATGTTACCTAATATTTCTGTCGTCAACTCGCACGCTCGTACAAAGTACAGCCAGGGAAAAAATAAACTAAATTTTAAAAACTACTTCAAATAAAACGAAATTGTATTAAATAAAAATTTAAACTAAAATTTAAAAACAACTTAAAATAAAGGTACTTACTAAATATTGTTGTTTTATATCCGAAATAGATATATATACACATAAAAAATAAAAATACAAAATATATTTCGTGCCCTCGAGAATTCAAAAGTTTTTATTAGCTGATTACCACAGCTCGAAGAATAGAATGTTGGTTTTCGCTAGTGATAATTGTGAAACAATATTAGCAAATTGTAATTTGACAGTTTTATGTGACGAACTTTTAAATTTTGTCCAAAACCCTTCCAGCAATTGTAAACCTTACATGTTGATTTAGGAAGCAGTGAAACACATACTAACATCATACCTGAGATTTATGCATTATTGCCAAACAAAAAATAAAATAACTTATAAAAGTGTTGTTTTCGCTTATCAGTTCGATCCAAAAAATATTATACTCGTAAATATACTATCACAGATGTATTCCCAGATACTTGCATTTGTGGGTGTTTCTTTCATTTTTGTAGAAGTTTGTGGCGAAAGGCTGACGAAGTAGGCATGACAAAATCTACACTGTCTTGAAAACATGTAAAAAGGTGTATTGTTTTGGCACATTTACCTAAAGAATTTATTGACAGTGGTTGTTGAATGTACAGAATGTACAATTCTGTCTCAATGCCCCAACGATGAAACAATTGTCCAATCTAATAATTATTTTGTAGAAACATGGTTAAGGAAATCTTCATTTTTTGCTGACAAATGGTCGTGTAGTATGGTTGAGAGCTGGCATGCTACTGTAAACAAAAAAGTAAAGAGTAAACCGAAAAGCATTGTTCATTTTTTGACTATCTTACAACGAGAAGATAATTATTATCAAACTTTATACTTAAAAGGATCAAATATTACGATAAAACAGAAAGAAACTTGTGCTATTGATAAATATATTGCTACCACAATTACCGAACTCAGACTCGGAAACATAAGTATTGAATTATATATCGAAAGTCTTATATTATAATTTTTTGAATATTTTGATTTGAAAATAAATAAGAACAAAAACTGTGATCTGTGATTATACTGACAATTTTTTATGTATGTTGTAAAAAGTAGTTATAACAAGCCAAATGCTCCTGTGATATTATTGATTTTTATATTTAGAATGCTTTAGTGATATTGTCGATTATATTTTATATTTTTGATCACATTTTTATACTTAGATAATAACAAGTCAAAAAATGCTTTTGTGATATTATTGATTCTTTTTTTATGTTGATCATATTTTTATAGTTAACAACACGTTATACTTAGCTAATAAACAAGCTTTGAGATTAATTATATAATTTTTTTGACTTTGATTATTATTTGATGTAACATGCTTTTATATTTTTGAGATGTTAATTTGCGTTTTATTTGAAGTCGTCATTAAAATTTAGTTTAAATTTTTATGTAATACTAGCTGTTCCCCCGCGACTTCGTTCGCGTGAAATTTATTACGATTGAATTTCATGGATTAGAATGTTTTGCGAAAGACCCAATTCTTTTTTCTTATATAAAAATAAGACTAAGTTACTCCTTATAACTTCAGTTATCTGGCATTGAAAGTCCTGACAAAATTTGTTCAGCCATTTCGGAGGTTTTATTAGAAGTCATTTTTAAAATTTAGTTTAATTTTTTTCCTGGCTGTACTTTGTACGAGCGTGCGAGTTGACGACAGAAATATTAGGTAAATTCGGAATGTGCCAAGTCGCCCGATCGGGCGAGTTTTTGTCGGGCGAGTTGACGAATAACCCTATATAACTCGTCTTTGCCCTAGCGAGGAAGATAGGCGTAGGCATATTCCCACGGAAAAACATGTGTTAGTAGTTATAAAAATTCATCAAAAAAATTGATTGACTAGCTTCGGAAATATGTTAATACAGGATATTATCATATGCCCCCTAAGGTAAATTAAAAATAGTTAGTTAACAACATTTTTTAAAAATCTTCAAAAAGTGGAAGCATATTATAACGCAATTTATTGAGTAGATATACTTAATTATTGCTTATAATGAGTAATTTGAATTGTGAGTAAATAAAAAAAGATATTTGACTTGGTTCGCAGCAATTGACGTCGTTTTCCATGTTTAAGAGCTGATTAGATTTTTGGAATTGATCGTTACCTACATCTGCTTAAAAATTATTCCAAAACAACATTTTTTTTAGATTACTTAAAATCTTTCGGTTACCATACCGGCTGAAACAGTATTGAAGGTTTAAGTTTATTGAAACCCTTTCGAACGCCATCAAGTTCGTTCAAATCAGTCAAGCCGTTTAAAACTACTACTGTACTACCACTACTGTCGTTGGATCTTCATACGGAAGTCCATCTAATTTTTCGTAAAATCAACAAACACTCATTCAACTACAATGTCAGTTGGACCACTTTTAGAAGAAGGAATTATCTCAATGAAACTATTCAGTTTTTGCCCTATAAGTTCTCTCCTCAAATTTCAAACATCCGTACTTTCTCCTTATTAATCGTCTTTCCTTGTATCCAGATTTGAGCTGACGCCTCGCATAGTGTAATGAGTTTTACAGGAATTTATACATTATTTTTACCTTTTTATTGGGGTTTGTCAAGGTGTCATAGATTTGCATCGCTCCTCGTTTGTAGCTTACCTATATACGCGGATTCAAAACACCCCACGACAGCAGATTACATTAAAAAATAGTAGCCATCAATGCAAGGCTAATATTTTTTTTATAGAATAAGGGTGACAAACGAGCACACAGTCCACCTGGTGGCATGTGGATGCTGTGGCCCATAGACGTCTACATTTATCCTCGATTAAGAATCAAAACGCAGATGCTTTGTTACCGATGAGGACTAAGATGAAATGCCTCGTTTCCAGTAAAAAAGGGTCTCTGGATCTCTATACTCACCATATGAAATACAGCATATACAATATAGAAGTATTAAGCTGCTATTTTACGCTGGTATTCTATAGCGTGGTCCTTCCCAGGTCGAGCCGACCCA